AATAACTTACCTTTTAAATGGCCGGCTAAGTAAAGACCAGCAGACTTGTTAGATTCATAATAGACGTCTTCTGTAACTGTTTTGTAATGTGTAATGTACGTGGCACAAAAGCATACTTTCATAGTAGCCTAGTAGATAGTATATCATCTTATTTTGTGTCTTATTCTTACATAGTTTTATGTCTTTCACCTATTTTGTGTTACTATAATACTATGCTAAAGATGTACAGACGATTTTGAAGCCTGCTTCACACTAGCAATTTTGTCGGCGATTTTGTGTTTCTGACGGGTGCAAATGAGTGAACTCGCACACAAAAGTATAGAGTCGCTTTTCAGGAGTAAACAATTCTAAGTGAAGTCTTTTGCATGTCATTCCTTCGACCGCATTTGCCTGGAGGAGAAATATCGCCGACAGAATTGCTAGTGTAAACCAGGCTTTTAAACTCTTCTGCTTATATGCACCTATTAATGTTAATCACTGGGAAGGCATGCAGTTACGGAAAAACGGTGGAGATTTGCCTTGAACACCCACAACATCCATCAGGAATTTAAAAATCAATATTATTCCAGGGATGGGAACATTTGACCAAAATTAAAAAGTTTTAATTTTGGTCAAATGTTCCCATCCCTGGAATAATATTGATTTTGAAATTCGTGATGACTGATGGATAGGTTGGGTGTTCTGCAGCTTAAAGACAATGACTTTGCCCAAACTAGTAGAAAGAATATGCTGACAATGAATGCTAACTCATTAAGCTGCAATGTGCCAAAAGGAGCCCTACTTTATCATCTTACTCTGAGATTCTATATTATAAAATAACATGTATATAACGCTTGCTCTGATTGGTCGAAACCCGTGTTTGGATCAGGCCATCCAAACACGGAAATTTAAAGTGAAAGTTTCTTAAAATGAAAATTTAACACGGAAAGTTTTTATTTTATAAAACAATTACTTTATGGTTTCCGTGTTTGGATGGCCTGATCCAAACACTTGGGAATGTTGCTCGAGTTAAGAAAAACACGCAAAATCACTCGCCTTCGGTTCGTGTTTCGCGCGCTTTTCTTAACTCTCGCAACATTCCCGCGTGTTTGGATCAGGCCATCCAAACACGGAAACCATAAAGTATAATTGTATAATGCCACACGATTTTACTCATCAAGGAGCGCTAGCCTTGCGCTAATTTCATGGATTAAAGAATTATTAATATTAAATTTGAGATGTTCTTGTGAATCCTCCTTATTTTTTGTTAGAAATATTCCATTTTCAAGGTTAACATTGATAATTTTTATTAATAAAAGGAAATTAAATCAAAGACAAAGCTGTTTTAGTATGCTAACATTTTTTCGGCAAATATAGCCCTGACAACAATTTTAAAAAGAATGACGGACAAATATTTAATTCTTTGAGAAACATTTTAAGCTTATAAAGTTTCTAAAGGTGCTGTGTGAAACACAAGCTTAATGTACATAATATGTCCTGAACTACTAAATAAATCAGTAAAATCACACACAATATTAACTAGTTGTCCAAAATTTCATTTTGACACAGAGAATGTTACATAGTTTGGAACTTAAGCTGTACCTAGGTGGTGACGTTTTGATACAATATTTTATTGGTATCCGTCACCCCAACTCATGGAATTTTACCCCAAATTTGTCAGATCTCCATCCCTTCCTCATTTCTCCTCCCCCTTGGATTTGTATTGAGAAGTGTATTACAATTAGATAATGACCTTCTGTAAACATACACACCACAAAATGCATTAGATCCAAGCAAAAGTCATAGCACTGACTCAGTCAGCTATAACAAAACATAACATATAAGCTTATCTATCTACGGTATGCAGTTCTGTTTAAATGTGTCAATACGTCAATTTTAACCTATTCGAAAAATTCCAATTAATAGGAATGATTTTCTGTCTGACATATTCAGTGGATTCTAATAGGAAAATTAAAATCCTATTGGAGTTCCAGTTCATAGGAAATATTATCATAATATGCAATGCAATTGTGCAATATCCCAGAGCATTCTAATAATATCAATTCCAACTTTAAGGGGGAAGGTTTAACTTAACTTAGAAGGGGTGAGTTTAATTTAAGATTTTCACCCTTCCTTATACTTTGTGTGTCTCAAACAGGTTGGCCTTTATGAATTAATTGGGCCAGGGCCCCAGCCTTTATTCCAAAGTCATACCACTTAGTCCACTGTTTCTTTTATTTTGATGAAGTTGCTTTATATCCCATACAGTAGACAATGGCAAAGGCACACCTGAGATTTTTACAAGTTGAAAAGGGGTACACCTGGGTGAATGTCAATCATGATCTATCCTTTAAATGGTGATTAAATTGATAAATTATTTAGGCTGGAGCTGGAAATACAAAGTTTTCAGTTTTTGACCAAACAGAACTGAAATTAGTATTTTGTCATGATACTGTTAATTCTGAAGGGTGTACCCGAGTAATATTTAAAGTACAAAACTGAAACATGCATGTAAGTGCTGTTGCACCCAAGATCTTGTTAAAAAATCCAATGTATACTTTTCTGTGTGGTGTATATCTTGCTTCCTGCTATTCCAATAAGCAGTCCATGCACGGGGG